GGGTTTCGCTTCAGGGCACACAAAAAATGAGAAGGTACCAAAATCAAGAGGTGAATCCGCTGATAAATGTTTGGAAAGTTTGTCTTCATTTTTTAGAGGGGCACCACATTTTCCTCTTCATTTTCCTCGTGGGATAGGGAGCTTTGTGTCTATGCATCAGAGTGGAGTGAATGGGAGATGCTGTTTATTGTCCTGATTGCCAAAATTGCTAGCTACAGCTCTGTGGGTTAGTAAGGGGATGCGAGATCCCCAGGGCCCGAGAGAGAGAGAGAGAGAGAGAGAGATAGGTTGGAAGGACTGCAGCCTGAGACCTTGGACCATTATTTCTGCTACTCAGAGGTGACAATATAGTAACACCCCAGCTTGTCTGGCCCTGCACTGTTCTCTTCCATCTCTCTGGCAGCCATTTTGACAGAAGCGCATGCAATCCTGCTGTCATGTGAGGACATTCAGAAATGCCAAGGTGGCCCTTTTTGTGGCACATCGGAGTGCCAACTGCATTTTTGCTCTGCTGCCGAGGAAAAGCATTTCTGTTGCTTTTTTGCCTATTCCATAGGGCACCATGTTAAACTGTCTCATTAGCGCTGTTTCGTTTAAGGCTCAATTTTTCTATCAATACATGCATATCACTAAGCAGGGTTACAGTATAGGACTAGATGGATTACTTCCTGCTCTTTTATACGTTTTTCTTCCAGAATGGCCACTGGCTTTGTTGCCTGAGAGACTGAGAGTTGCATCTTGAAAAAGTAACTTTCCTTGCTCTTGGCATATTCCTCCACAGTGCTCTTTTAGCTACTCAAACTAATGAAAATGGTTGCCCAACCCCCCTTTCTGCCTTTTGGTATTAATTCTGTGAGTATTTCTGTAATTTATGCTTTTGAGTTCATCAGAACAATTTCCCCACACAATTTTTTTCAGTACACAGTCTGAAAAGTATTAGGTGGGCCTAAATGCCATTGAGATGACTATGGTGTAAGAACACGCATCTCTGTCCTACCAATTTTAATAGGGATTGTGCTTGCTAATATATTCATTTTTAAAAATAAAAATGGTTCCTCCTCCTTTCCAGATGAGTTTCTCATGCCAGTTCTGTTTTATTCTTTAACGTCAAGGCCACTTGGAAGTAGTTCCTTCTGGGTAACTGGTTCAGCATCTCTCATTAACCTGTGTCACTCTGTTCCTTCCACAAAATGTCCCCGCAGAGAGAATTCCCCCTTGGTGAAGTTATTTGACCAGGGAAGAGGGAATCTCCTGGTACAGTACTGGGCAATTCTACTGTTAAGACACATAGACAAAAGTGTTTGTGGTGAGTATATAGACTGCATGGAGAACTGGCCGCTTCGTTGATTCATTCGCACAGTGACAAAGTCACCCTGGGATCATGAAGAATAAAGCTGGCCACGGCTTTTATACGTGAATGTTACATGTTGCATCCAGGGTAAGGTGACTTGTACATCTCCATTCCCGTTGCTAGGAAACACGAGCAGGAAAAAGATCAAGTCCCACTGGAGGATTCTTGTAGGCATCTAGTTTCCCATTGTGGGAACAGGATATCAGACCAGACAGACCTTCAGCCTCATCGGATATATGGTAGTTCTTTATGTGTTATTAGTGGAACTGATTTTTCTGCTAAGAAGGATGGGAAAAGGGGCACGCTGGATTTGAACAAGGAAGGTTCCATCCAAAACTAATACTACTGCAGGACTCCATCCTGTCACAGGCATGGTTTTTGGTTTTATTGGTAACATCTTTCCCCTCACCTCAGTTTTATTACGGTGATGTTTGATTAGATGCAGAGAAACTTCAAACCTTTGGTAGAACTGCTTTGCCCATGAGCTGAAATGCTTTCCAAAAGGACATGGCTAACGGGGTTGCAAAAAGGGATTCTGATCGATAGAGCCATGCAGTTACTTCATACAGGGGTACCGCCTTCGGTAGGAAGCTTGATTAATAGCTTTGCACTGGGCATTCATCCGCCTTCTGCACCTACGATTCTCGCGAAGCTTTGCAAAACAGAAATTACAACCCTAGGCACAGAAAGAGATTCCAGTCAGCCACTGGAGCCTAAAGTGAAGCATAATGAACTGGGGCAGCACTAATAATAATCTAAAAATCTTCAGAACTGCATTGCTGGAAGGGACCCTATGGATCATCAAGTCCAGCCCCTGTCAAGGAGGCCTAGTGGGGAACTGAACTCTAGAAGTGTAGTCTAAGGTAAACGTATCAGTTTCTACCAACCGGATATCCTCCAGACATGAGGAACTGAAAACACCTTATCATAACTGCCCACCAAAGCCATGTTGGCTGGGTAGACAGGAGGTGTGGTGCAACATATCTGGGGGACACCATGGTGAGGGCCACGGCTACGTATGTTTCATGGGACATTCTCCCAGGTAAGTGGTTCTATGAATGTAGCCCCATTAATTTAAAAGGAAGGTTGTTTCTGGCCCCAGCTTAAAAACAGGTTAAATCATGAATCACTCCAGTTTTAGTGGTATTTGTAAAGAAAATGAGAATGCACTCCCCACCTGTGGTTAAAAAAAAAAAACATTTTGCATGTGTATGTATCGGAGGATGGCCTCAGAATTGCTACAATTCAGGATTTGGTAGAAAATGAATCCATTTTCCCCTTGCAGACAGACCTCCCTTTTAAATAAAATAAATAAAAACCCACAGATATAGGCAATGGTGCTTGGATATTATTAATTTTTTTGGCTCAGTTTGGGTTTTTTAAGAAATACAATAAAATTGTGTTTGTTATGTAATTTTTTCCCCTGTTCTGTAACTCTGAAAGTCAGGTATGTTTGATCTAATAGCTGTTTGGATTTTGTGTATTTTTTCTGATTTTTGTGCAGTTGAACTGATTAAAATCGGTGGTGTTTTTTTTTTTGCACTTTCCTCCCTCAAGACTGTTCTTTCTGATGAGCCAAATAGAGGAGGGTTAAAACAAAAATCAAGACACGTATCCATGACTTTTTCCTCATGCAGTTTAATTCTTCTGAAAAGCACAGGATAAAAGCACACGTCCAAAGCAAAACTGGGAAAATGTGGCCCTCCAGATTTTGTTGGACTACATCTCTCAGCAGTACAGCCAAGAGCAGATAGTGGGAGTTGGGATGAGCATGGCAGTCCTCCTAAATTCCATTAGCCCACAGCACCACCACGTCCCTACTCTGGTGTGAA